GTACGGCGGCGCGCATGCACACGTACGATCTTCGGTCAGCACCAACTGTGCATCGGGCGCGATCTCTGCAAGGGGCACGCGTGCTTTGGTGCTGCTGGGGCACAATGTTGGCTGAACGTCCAGCGCTGTTGGTGCGCTGGTGTCGAGGCAAGAGACGTCGGGTCGTCGCTGCCTTTGTCGCATTGGAATATCGGTGTCGTCGCAGCCGCCGTCGGGTCGCTGCTGCCATCGCCGTATCGAAGGACGCCGGTGTCGAAGCGAGCAACGCCCGGGACGCTGCCGCCGGAGCGTCGGTGTCTGAGCGAGAGACGACCGTGACGCTGCTGCCGCGTGGGATCGAAGCGCCGATGTCGAAGCGAGAGACGACCGGGACGCAGCTGCCGTAGTTGAGTCGGATCGCCGTTGCCTGAGCACGAGGTGACCGGGCACTGCTGCCGTTGGAAATCAACGTAGTGGTAGGCGACAAGCCATCGTTGTCGTCGTCGTTTGTGAGCCCCAATGTAAGAGCAAGATACAAACCGCAACCGGGACGCTGCTGCCGTTATTGCAGCGGAGCGTCGGTGTCGAAGCACGAGACGACCGAACGCTACTGCCGTCGTTGAGATGATGCGCCGGTGTCAAACCACGAGACGACGAGGACGCTGCTGCCGTCGTTGGGAAAAAGGCGTCGGCGTCGAAGCACGAGGCGACCGGACGCTGCTGCCGTCGCTGAGGTGGAACATCGGTGTCGTACAGTTGTAGCACGAGACTACCGGGACGCTGCTGCCGTTGTAGAGCCGAGGCGCCGGTGTAGTCGCGACACAGAACCGGGATGCTGCTACAGTCGTTGGTGCAGAGTGCCGATGTCGTAGCGAGAGACGACCTGAAGGACCGCAACTGCCGAAGTTGTAGCGAAGCGTCGTTGTCGAGGCGCGAGACGACTGGACGCTGATGCCGTCGTTGTAGCGAAGCATCGGTGTCGTAGCACGAGACGACCGAGACGATGCTGCCGTCGTGGCGATGAAGCGTCGGTGTCGTAGCACGAGACGACCAGACGCAGCTGCCGTCGTAAGAGCGGAGCGTCGGTGTCGAAGCACGAGACGACCAAACACTACTGCCGTCGGTGAGACGAAGCGCCGGTGACCTAGCACGAGACGACCAGACGCAGCTGCCGTCGTAAGAGCGGAGCGTCGG